GATGGTGATGACCATGATGGTGATGATCATGATGATGAAGATGATTATGATGATGATGATGACGATGATGATGATGATGATGACGATGACGATGACGATGACGACGGTGATGACGATGGTGGTGGTGATGATGATGATGATGATGGTGGTGGTGGTGGGTTTGGTGATGCTGATGATGATGATGATGGTGGTGGTGGTTTTGGTGATGATGATGATGGTGATGGTGATGGTGATGATGATGATGATGATGATGATGATGATGATGATGGTGGTGGTGGTGGTGGGTTTTGGTGATGATGATGATGATGATGATGATGATGATGATGGTGCTGGTGGTGGTGGTGGTGGTGATGAAGGTGGTGGTGATGTTTATTACTGTTGTTATTATTATTATTACTATTATTATTATTATGATGGGTGGTGGTGGTGGCGGTGCTGGTGGTATTGGTGGTGGCAGTGGTGCTGGTGGTGGCGGTGGTGGTGATGGGGTCTGGGATGAAGACGAGGAGAGGCGGAGGAGATGGAGACTGCATCTGGTGAAGGCAGCACATGAAGTGTACCCTTCTTCTCTTATCGCATGATGCCGTTGCCATTGCAGGCTATGACCCCCAGAGTTGCAAGAAACTAATGCGAAAGAGTAGCTGCCATTCTCAGCATTTGTCCACGGTAGCACTAGAGCCACATAAATGGCTTCGGATCTTGGAGGTGAGCAAAGAACACAGGGCACCGCACATGTCAACCTGCAACTACCATGAAGGCAAACAATGGCATGCCTCGGCCAGCCCGTCGCAGTCCAAGCCTGGCATGCTGGCATCGCCGAGAGTCTGCTTCTTACGTTTGCGCTGAACCTTTCAGGGTTGCCGGCTCGACCCATGGAAAAGTTCCCTGCTGCAGCCAGGCACTGCCAAATCACCGTTGTCCCCGCCTTCAGAGTTCGGAATGCCAGCTCTCTTCCTTGTCTCAGTCTTCTGCCTTCATCAGGCCGGTTCCCAGGATCCTCGTCTGAGCCACCTCCCCCGGCTTGGAGTCCTTCCTAGCACCTGACATGGCACGTTCTGTATCAAAGCTCGTCAGCTCAAACCCTAAAATCCCAGCGCCTTGCATCGACCAGCAAGGGTGTTCCGTCGTCAGGTTCCACACCTGGCAGCCGCGCACATAGACCCTCGGAACAGATTCTCGCAACCTTCAGGATTTTACTCTGTCAGAGGCACGGGCGCCCGAGCACGCCGTAGCTGCAGAAGCTGTCTTGCCCCTGAAGCATGCGCTCGAGAAAAAGCACACTCGGGATTGGCCCTTCTATGGCTTGGAAAATTGCGCGTGAGACCTGAATGACCCACCTCTGCCGGGAAGATAGAAGAGAGGCCACTCGTGCGGAAGCATCGCTTCCATGCAACCAGCGGCTGCTGCGCAGGACGGGGCCCTGCACCTGCGCTGGGCTTCCAGAACTGTTTGCTGGTCCGAGGTCCCTCGCTGCCTGGAAGAAGAACCGCAGCGGATCTGGTATCCAAATCCTACAGCGAAGACACCGGCTAGATCACAGTAGAAGGACCTCGCTGCTGAGACTAAGGACCTTCCATAGACGGCTGCTATACCATCTAAGCCTTGCGCGCCAGCTCGGGCCAGTCTTCGACAAAGTCCATGCGCAGTGCCTGCATTCAGGGCAAGCTTTATTCACGGCGGCGCAGAAAGCTCTGCTTCGCACTGCAGGAAAAAGCAAATCTTGCACACACACTGCGGGCCTGCCAGTCGGGCAAGCTCCCGTAGGACGGCGTGGGCAGGATCTGCATCACGGACATAGAGAAGAGTTGCAGAGGCGAAGAAGCGCAGAGGCGAGTCGCAGGTATCCCAGGTGCCCTGCCTGGCCCAGGTCGACGCAGCCCAGGAGAGCTGACCTCGATATCTCGCTTTCGGGGTGGCCAATGGCCATGCGGCAGATACCCGATGGAGCACAGCTAGGAGTCGGTCAGGCAGACGTACGTCGCGTGCGCAGCCTCCGTCCCCTTGGAGAAATCCCCGCTCAGCAGCTGGCCTCGCCGGCAGAGCCCAAGGCTGAGTCGAGATACTCCTATAGGACTAAGACGAAGACTATTCTCAGGTTTGGCCAAGGCGCGTGTGGAGCAGACAATGCCGAGAGATGCGACCTGAGCCAGTCAGTGCACTCAAGCAACCCAAGCTCGAAGTGGCTCACGGCAGGCTGGCTTTGCTCACATCCTGGCCAGCAACGTGCAAAGTGTACCGCGCATTTTCATCCCTCCGGGATGTTGCCCAGGTGACTCTCGGCAAAAGCTCCTCGAAGCAGCGGATACTTCGAAAAGAGAACAGGGCGTAGAACCACAACAAACTGCAACGGGGAGAGACAACCGTGACTACCTTCGAGCAGGACGGGCGAGAGTCTTCAATGCAACGGTGCTCCCAGTCCTCAGTCGCCTTCGTCCGGGAAGTCGGTTGTCGACGTGGAGACGCGATCAAGGGATTCATGGAAAAGACAGCGCGGAGGCTCCGAGTTCTGGGGAAGCACAGGGGAACTGGACATGACACCGCGAGTCAACTCGAGTCCTCGGAAAGCTCCACATGCCATGCAAGGTGGCTGCCATCGAAGTTCAGCGAGGTCTGTAGCCTTCAAGGTCTGTACGAATCACAGCGGCAGCTGCATCTGAAAAGACACGCACAGCAGCCACTGAGATGGTGGCCGAACATCTTGGGGCTTTTCAGGTGCTGGTGAGGCACGTGCCTGAAACGGTTGCACGTGGACATAATGCACCATGTCATTGGATTCTGCAGCGGCTGGCAAAGCTGCCTTGGCCTGCGCATCCTTTGGCTCAGGAATGAATTCTGAGGGTACCTGTGCACCATGGCCAACAAACCCCACCCACTTCCATTCTATCTGCGCCAATGAGCCGCCTGTGCTCTTCTCCGCAAAGCTCGCTCAAGAGCTGACATCCTGCCGGTAAGGTCCTCCGCATTCTTGAAGCACGAGAACCGTGCAAATGCAACAAGCATCCAGCCTACATCGCTGAGAGAGAGAGAGAGAGACATACCGACACCTGTGTCCGCAAAAGAACCCATCAGCCTCCATCTTCCCTTGCGCTGCTGACAACGCGTGGGTCATCTCGCAGGTAACCTGCGAGTGATCGCAGGCATGGCAATCAATAGAATCTAGAAAGGAAGCAGCAAGTCACTGCACTGCCAGCGCCTGTCGTGCTGAGCTCATGGCCTCGATCACTGACATGGCAGCTTTCGACGAAGCAGGTCCGCAGACTGGCAAGCCAGACCATACTGAGATTCGCACATCCACACACCTGCTTGCTGTTTCGACAGCCGCGAGCAGCGCAGCTCCGCATGCCTTCGCGCGACATGGAACCTTGCTCACCCTTATGGCACTTCCAGCGCCTCTCCGGAGGTTTCCGGTTCTGTCAACCTCGGCCCACATCTGCACCCACATGCGCACCCCACGTCTCAGTGAGACATCTTGCTGCAGCCGGAGGACCCAAGCGAAGAGCTCGGAGCCTGGACCAAGAGCATAATGCAGCGCTGCAGTGCGCTGCGCGGCTTCGGCTGACTTGGCCGCCGGCTTCTGGTCGACTTGGAGGTCTTTCCGGCATGTCCGGTGCAGCACCCACTTCCCTAACACTCTCCCACGGCGAAGGCTGCCAGTGGAGAGAATCCTCTGTTGGGTCTCGAACCTTAGTAAGACTCTCCATGCATGCCCTTGTGCGGTATTGCAGCCCTCAGTTCAATCATGAAGATGTGCTGACTTGAAAACATGACAGGATCACAATGGCAGCACACGAATGAAGACCCCTGAGATCCCCTGGGCATTAGGGCATTAGAAGCAGCAGCAGCAGTTGTAGTAGTAGTAGTTAGTAGTAGTAGTAGTCATAGTAGTAGTAGTAGTAGTAGTAGTAGTCGTCGTCGTCGTCGTCGTCGTCGTGGTGGTGCTGGTAGTGGTGG